TGGGGCACTGGAGCTGCAGCGTGGGGCACGGGAGCTGCAGGTGTGAGCACTGGAGCTGCAGCGTGGGGCACTGGAGCTGCAGCGTGGGGCACTGGCCCCACCAGGCTGGCATCTCCCTGGCTGAGCAGGAACAGCTCGTTGGCTGGGAAGGGCAGCAGGGCTGTGCTGCAGCTCCTCCGTCTCAGTACAGGATGAGCCCCAGCAGCAGCTCCAGCAGCCCTGGTGATGCCTGAGGTGCCGGTATAAGCCTGCACTCCAGCTTAATGCACTAGGCCAAGAGGCTGGTTTAAGCAAGCCAGAAATGCCAAAAAGTAGATCAAGACAGATTTCAAGCTCACAACCTAGAAATTCCTTATCATATTAAAAATTATGGTTGGTAAGGACATGTTTGTCAGTCCTCTTACCGTCTGTGGGAATATTCTCAACTCCCCTTGTCACATGTTTGCAAATGTTTCAATTAGCCAAATTTTCATGGTGGGGTGAAAATGTTCTGATCCAGTAATTTCTTTCAGGCCATAGGTTCAGACTATGTAATTCAAGCCCCTTTCTCTGTCTTTTTCTTGCCAAGCCTTTTCTCTCCTCTTCTAAAACCAGTTGTTGAACAAAAGGGAAAATAATTTGCAAATGTAAGAAACAGTTCTTCCCCAGGAGAAGAAGACAGAAGAAAGAACTCCAAATCCACAGTTTGGAGATTTGCAAAGGAAAATTTGATTTTCTCTAGAGCAGATACCACCAGCCCCAATTCCCCAGATTATCTCAACGCGAATAAATTTATAGTTTAAAAATATCATCCTGTTAAGAAATGGGCAGCTTTATTTCTTGAAATTTAACTTACATCATGGTAAGTTGAATGTTGCTGGTTGGCTGGCTCGGCTTCTGCAACATGTGTGAAGGGTTAGCATTTCTCTCTGTTCACCTGAGCTATTTAATACTTGGTTGAGGTTTACCTACACATACATCAAACATGGCAGAGTCGGACAACAGCTTCACTCTATTTTTCTTTTTTTTTTTTTTTTTTTTTTTATTTTTTTTTTTTTTTTTTTTTTTTTTTTTTTTTTTTTTTTTTTTTTTTTTTACAATTTAGATACATTATTTATGCCTTTATGCTATCCTCTGCCCCATGCATATTTCCAGCCCTATTGCTGCAGTTTGGATGCTGGTGGAGCAGCACAGATGCACTTTCAATGCTACCAAAGGCAGGAGGGCTCAGCACGGAGGGGCTATTCTGGGTGTGTAGCCAGGCTGCTCAAGTGTCACTCCAGTTATTCCTCCTCATCCCTGGTGCTCTGCACATGTCTGATGTCATCTCGCCTGAAAAAGTTTATTGCAGATAGCTGTCCTGGGACTGAACCTGGCAGGACTTAATTGCCCCAAGGCAGCACTTCCCAAACTGCTTCATTCTCCTTTCAGCCTCAGTGCCTTTGTGCAGCCCCGTGCTGTGCTGTGGCACCAGCCCAGCTTCCCTTGGATGGGCCAGCAAGGACTTAGGACTTGGATGGTGTGCTAGCATGCACTCTCCTGCTGAAGGCACTGAGCTGCTGCCAAGCCCAGGAGGTAATTCACATGTCCTCTCCTTGCTGTCAACCCCTGCCACCAGTGATTACAGCTGCTTCTGACTTCCCCACCCTTCAAGAGCTGACTCCCTGCTGGCTAGCACTCCTTTTCCATTCTTTACCCCNCTTTCTGGTTTCTTTCTCATTGTTGGTTTAAGCAACTCCATCTTAAGGGAACAAGGTCCTTATAAACAATTGTCCTGGATGGCTTTGGTTTTGTTCCTCCCTCGTTTTGTAGCACATTGTGTCCATCAAAGGAAAGTGAGTCAGGTGAATATTTTGTTTGCAGAACCAAGGCTGACCCCACGTGTTGAGCAATGTCTGCCCATTCACCATGTATCTAACATCTTCCAAAGGCATATCACTGAAAAATTATATATAACAGCCTACAGAGAATGTGGCTTTTGCTGCTAAGCATTTCAAGGTATGATTTATTTTTGGGAGGGAAATTGCCTTTGAAAGATGCTTGGATCAATCCAAGCCACATTTGAGGGCTTCACTTTCACATACAGCTGGCACTGTGCCTGCAGAAAGGTGCACCTGGCCAAGCAGGAACCTGCATGTGGTGACCTGTGGGCAAGGGTTGTGCCAGATGCTGGTGCTCTATTAACTGCATGTGGAAAGGCAACTGGCTGTATTCCCAAACACAAGGGGACAGCTAGTCTGGAGGGAAGGCAAAGGGAGGGCACTCCTGGGAAAAAGGCAGGCAGAAGGGTTACCTCCTCCTCATCTATTCTTTCCATAGCTATTAGCACCCTAATGAAGTGTCTTGACTTCTGCCAGGCTATGATCTCTGCCTGATGAGGGACTTTGAGGGTCAAGCACCATTTTTCCTTTCTTGTCAAAATACATAGCTCAGTAGGCCAAAATTGTTGGGCTAGAGTAATGAAGGTAAATTTTGCTTCTGCTTTAGAAATTCATACAGTTCTCTCTTGAAATGATCATGGGGAATTACTGTTTGGTTTAATCTCTCCTAAAGCTTTGCAGAGACTCCAGTAGTACTGGAAGGAGTATAAAACTAGTAGCAAATTCCTGTCATTGAATTAGTAAAATAAACCTGGAAATGAATATTCTTTCTATTTAGAGTGAGCAACTTGTTATTATCCACAGTCAGACTTCCATAGGCACCTTTCATTGCACAGATAATCACCTAAAAATACACAAAGTGACTTGTAAGCATAGAACTATACTTACATAATCTGGAAAAAAGGGATTGATTTATGGCAAAAGGTGTCAAGAACCACATACTTAGTGCTTAGCTGCTAAGTGGAGAGCTTTGAGGGGTGCCAGCCCATATCAGATAGCTGTAAACAGCAGGGAAGAAGACACATTATTTCTCTCGAGTTAAGAAGATATAACCAGCAAAGAAAAGATCATGTACATTATAAAATAGTATCTCATGGAATGTGGTGAAACACCATCTCTCAAGACACTTAAAACTAGCTTGGCACAGCCAGGTTGGCAGTGAATCAATCACTTGGGATGTCTATCTTCTGCTTGAAGGACCAGAAAATCATAGACTGCTTTGGATTGGAAGAGACCTTTAAAGACCATTGAGTTCCAATCCCCTGCCATGAGCCGGACACCCTCCACTAAACATGACCAAATCCAGCTTCTAATACCTGGGGGTATTTTTGTCAGACTCTGGCCACAGCTCTGTTAGGCTTTGATGTGAGAGCCCCAGGCAGGAGATCTGCCTTTTCCACCCTCAGATAGCCATGGCCCATATTTTTTACCTGCTCTGGATACCAGACCATTAAGCCTGCCTCTCTGCACTGTTTTCTCCCATTGCAGCAAACTCAGGGCTGGTGGTAACTGCTTTTCTTTTAAGGTAACACATACCTGAGTTTCTTTCTTGAAATAAAAAGATAATTAAAAATTAAAAAAATATATATTTCCTGACTACTCTGGCAGTGGAATCAGTTGAAAAATAGTGGTGTATCTCTTTGAAAATACCTCTGTTGGTTGAGAGCCATCCCAAGAACTTTTGGAAGTTGCAGTTACCTTTTCTCTCTCCTCTGCATCATAGTTGGCTGGAAAGGCAGGTTGATTCTGGTTTTCCTCCATGATTTCTCTCTCCTCCAAATAAAACTGCCACTTGGCTTCAAAGTAAAACCAGTGCTCTTGATATTCTGAAGGCCAAAGACATTAATGATGTAGTATTTCATTTCAAGAATATTTTCAGTTCTACTTTAACATATTTTAAGGATAATGACAGTATTGACTGACATGAAACCCCAGATATTTTACAGTAATGTACTGCATACATACTAAATATATATGGAGTGGGACATCTAATGGAAAACAGAGGATGCAATGATGAAAATTCTTCCAAAATTTTGTGCTATTTTAATGTAATTTAAGATATATCAAGATGAAATTTTACAAGAATTTTTGAAGAGCACTCCAAGGAAAAGATAAGAGTCACCAAAAAGAAAATAATCAATTCTTTGTCAGTTTTTATTCCTTTACTATGTTTAAAGAGTATCTAAAAATGTTTCCACATCATAAATACAATTTGTCACCTACCTCAGTTATCAATTTTTAATTGCATAAATTCTCCAGTATTTCTGTTCTCTTTTCATGGCATTTATTGTGTGATCATTCAGGAAAAAAACCAGATAGGAAAGTCCAAAATTCTCATTTGCATATATTATAATACATATCAAATGTAGCAAAAGGATGAATAACACACACATATGCTACCTGTGCCCATAGAAATTAGCCTTTTTAAATAACCATATGTCTTTCTCCTTTTTTTTCTGTCACTTTGAAAAGCGAAATCTAATCATGCTTAATGTTCCCCATGTAAATAAACTTATTTTATTTCGTTTATTTTCAAGCCAGTGCTCTGGTTCACTCTTTTTATAAAGGCTTAGAAAGGCACCTAAGTCAGCCACACTGGACTGTTAAGCACATACACATCTACCTGCCTGCATGAGGCCTGAGGGAAACCCTACCTGACAAGCTGAGGGGGGTCAGGAGTTGGGGAACAGTGAGGTGGCCTGGATGGCTAAGTATGCCAAGGCAAACTAGCAATTTGGGTGTAAAGTAAAATTTAACATTCCCAGTTTTTCCCTGTCTCTCTCCTGCTTGGCTGCTCAGTGGCTGAGAAGAACACACCCAACCAAACCATTCCCCTGAAGGTTGATTTACTTCTTTTCCTAAAATGCCACAGTGGTGACTTTCTTTGGCAATTAAGATCTTTAAGAGGCTTTTTTGTAAAAATCCTAGCTACTTTGTAGTACCTGATATTTTGTGAAAACAAAGTAATAATTAATTTAATTTCCAGTATCACCTGGAAATGTCCAGCTGCCCTTTTTCTGAGTCTATGAACCAGCTTTGTTTCATTTCAAAGAAACCATTCACCAGAACCCTAAAAAGGGTAGGTGTTTACAAAAACAGAGTGAAAGAGCATTTACAGCCACCAGGCCAAGGGGAGCATCTGGATGTATATATAGCATCTAGAGGAAAACAAATGTAAGCAAAGCAAATGTAAACTATCAACACCCACTACAGCAGCTGGTTATGACAGTTTTTAGAAATGTGAGTGGCCCAACCTGTCTCTTTCTTTTTTGTTGGCTTTTTGTTTGCTTATTTGTGGGGGTTTTTCCCCTAATTCCCCCATGACAATAAACCATAAATGCCTCAAAACTGAATGTTTTCTATATAGCACCTTAACAAGCAAGGTGCTTGTTTCACAGTTTCAAAAATAGAGGGATCAAGCAGCTGAAGGAGATTTTTGTTGGGTGTAGCATGGTCAGAATCCCATGTCACTAACCCTAGCAAGGCTCTGCACCATCCCTTGAGCCCAGTCGAGGTGATGGTCACATTCAGGTCCATGGAATGATCTGGCCAGTAATTGCAACTGCATATCAGAGAGGACTGTAGAGTCGAACTCTCTGTGACATGGATAACAAACTCTGTTTGCTATTCATGGGGGATAATATAGCTAAAATAGGATTTTCTAAAACTGGAGGACTCTGTTTGGCAGGATTTCTTTGCAGCACATCTCAGCAGCCAAGGAGCTTAACTTTAATGCAGGACACTTTTCCCATTACCAAAATAGGATGAAGCTCAACAATACAGGCGCTGGCTGGAGGGCATGCCTCAGGAGCCCAGCACACATACCTCCACACAAGGGGTCCTGCTCGGCTGGAGTGACAGGGACCTGCTGCAAAGCCACTGCAAAGCTGGAGCTCGTTAATCCTGCACCTGCTCCTCATGGGTCTCTGCTAAAAAAATCCTGGTGTGCAATGAAGCACAGATGAAAACGCAGGGTCTTTCAGAAAGCCTTCCTGGGGCTCCTTTCAGATTTTAAAGCAGCAGCTTTTCTTTGGGGGTAAGTTTTCATTTCTGAGTGCTCTTGAGTAAAGATTTCTATAAGATTCAGTCTTTCTCAATAGCTGTCCCTTAATCTCTTACCTTGATGTTTCAATGTAAAGATACTTGTCTGTCCATGGCAGGTCTCACCATCACAAACATCACTTCCAGGCAAGGGGGGACTAAAGTACCTTTGCCCCAAAGACCACATACATAGCAATAATAAAGTGGTAGTATCAAGTTCAGTAGTTGGGTGACACTTAGTTGTTTAAAACAAAGATACAAGAGATTGTATCTTAAATATTTGTTCCGAAAAGCAGCAAATCAAATTGAATTGTGGTCAAAAGTTAACTCTTGGTCAGGAGGCATCTGCAGGTGAAATTTTCCTGGCAGGATGAGGAATGTCAGTGGTTTTCCTTAAGGAAGATGTTGAACCGCACTAATTGATGGAAAGCAGCTGAATAATTAATCTCAGCAGTTTGCCTAATAAGCTGCTAAATATAATTTCCTTCCTCCCCCCCGCCCAGCAATCTCTGAAGATTCCCTAAAAATAAAACTGCAGTAGAGCACGGTCATTGCTATTTTGCTTTGTATTTTTGCCACCAATACACCAGGCAACTAACTGGTGGTAGAAGAAGGTGGCACCACCTGTGAAGAGCTTACTTCTCTGAGCAGAGAAAGCATTGGAGGACAACCTTTGGAGGGAGGAGAGGGGGTGAAGCAACAAGATGTAAAGACTAGGGAGTGACATTTCTTCAGTGCCTTTCCAGCTAAAGATAGCTTTAAGAAAATAAACATTTGATCCAGACTTGGTACCTGCCATGTGACGAATGGTCTTCTTACAGTATTCTTCAGCCATGGGCACAACCTTCATCATCTCTCTTCCCCACTGTGCAAGGGGTTTCCCTTGTATTGCATATGCCACAAAGAGAGCTGTGCAAAGGGACCCTAAAAAACCTGGAATTCACAAATAACGAGGATTACCAGTGTGCATCTGTGCTGTACAATCCTTTTTGTCCTTGTTTTTCCTCTTAAAATCACCAATGGAATGCCTCGTGGCTGTCAGGTAGATTAACAAATGTACCAACCCATCTCTGCCTGACTTGTGGCATGTTGAGATTATTGGCTAATGAATGCTGCCTGTCGGTTTGCAACTTATCTTACATAGAAGGGAGCTTCTGTTCTCAGGGTGTAATGTGATAGAAATGGAGGTGGGGGTAAAAAATAAACATCGTCTACCAATGGGATACTGAAAATCTTCTAATTGAAGTCACATGAAATAATTGACTTGTACAAAGTGATTCAATTACAGGCTATATCAGCTTTTTTACAGCATCATCCAGCCCAAGAGTGGTGGTTGCTAGATCTAACACTATTTCTGGCTCATTTGACTCTAAGGGAACAAACCTATGTCCCCTTAGAAGAAAGAAGAAATTGTCCAAGAAACACATGCTGGTATTCTACTTTAGTTACAAATATTTCAACATTTTAAATATTACAAATACTGTGACTGTTGATGGGCACTCAACACTTCCATAACACCAGAAACAGTTGGCTCATTTCTTGCATTTACTTGTGCTCTTCGCATTCTGTCAAGAGCAAAAAACCAACCTGATGCAGTATGTAAAAGAAGCTTAAGAAAACCAGTCAGTCATTTAAATAAATCTAAGCTGAGCAAAGTATTGATGCAGGTGCTTTTCTTGGTGCATGGGTCCAAAAGCATTCACTCATGCATAGAGGTAATCATGAGTTTTGTGTTTTGCTGGTGGTAAAACAAAATTATCTTAGGAGGTGACAAGCCCAGATGAGGGGATTACTGATTCCCTCTGCCACAATACTTGCAATACTGGGTCAGGCCCAAGACATATCCAACTTGAGTCCCATAGATGTTTTTGTAAAGCATAACAGCCCGTGTAGACCCAGTCCAAAGGGCCTCACTCAGATAGGCAGCATCTAGCCCAGATGCCACAAAGATCCTTGAGGGCCTCATTTGCAGTGAAGGTGGCAGCAGAGGGATTAGAATGTGAATCTAAGGGTTAGCAGGGGGCAGTGGGACAGCTCACTCAGAGGGTGGCAGAGGCTGGGGTGTGTCCTGAAGGTTTTCCAGGGGCTGGCAGTCTCCTCCTGCCCGCTCCCCAGGCTGCCCACCCACTGTTGCTGTTGCCCTGCTGGCCCTACTCACGGCAGCCCTCACACAGCCTGCTGCTCCTCACTGGGGAAGAAGCACACCCAGCCAAGGTGTCTGCCTCTGGAAGACAGAGGGAACCCCAGAGTGAAGTGATTTGGCTTCTCCATTCCCCAGAGCAACTAGGCTAGTTTTAGGGGCCATTCTAATTACACAGCTTGTTTGATTTTGACAAGACAGTCTCTTTGCCTGTCTCATTTGAACACAGGCATACCCGCGGACTTTGCAGCTGCCTGTAGCATCAAGGTCTGAGGCTTCACTGTGCATAACATGGGTGAGTATTTCCTTTGTCTGCTTCCTTCAGTTCCAATTGACACACCGGTTGGGTTTTCTGAGTTATGAGGATCATAAGTGGCGTTTCCTTTACACATTTCAGGATGGCAGTGAGGTGCACATGGCCCTTCCACCCCTCTCCTTCCTTCCTCCCTGCTGTGCTACTTGTTCCTTTTCCCAGCTGAAAACTCTTTCTGGATGTAATTTCTCACTGTATGGAAGGTGTCTGACAAATTGGATCCTCCTTGCTGCCATTTTCTGGGTCTCACAAGCCCTTTCTGACATGATGGATGTAGACTACAAGCAGTCTTATGGCTGCTAATGCACCACGGACTTTACATACCAGCCTTTCTCTTTTGTTTTGAATGCTTTTCCCCTAATTTTATGGCATCCTGATGGCTTTTCTGACTGCTTCATAACAGTGGGCATGTTGAACATGTCATCATTCATTATGGTTTTATTTATTGCTGTTTAAAACAGACAGAATGAATACATGTTTACATAGCATAAAATTATCAAAATGACAGACCTGAATATTAGAAACCACATTAAGTCTGCTTATTTAGTTTTTGTTTAGAAAATGTTTCAGATTGTATCCTAATGGGTTTTTTGGCATAATACCTTTACTTACAGTGATTGGATATGACATAACCTACCAAGAGAAAAATGTTATTTTCCCCTGAACCATATATTTGCATGGTAACAGTGAGTCATCTAGATATACATGAATCCTAAAATTTGATCGGGGCAATTAACATGAATATACTTTGGACAAGGCAGGTTATGTTTACATACTGGGATTTTAGGAGAGAAAACAACTATGCTTGAGGATGCTGTTGGCATAGTATAGAAGCAAATATATAAGCCTATATAAGTAATATACACATGTATGTATTAACCAAGCAAAGTTCAAACTGAGGCCTTGAAGCCTACAAAGCAGAAGTGGTTTAACCAGGGGGGTTCACAGGAGTTGTGTTAGTCCCTGCAGAAGAGCAAAGCTGCCTTAGGGGATGGCAGAGTGCAGGCATTACCTGTGGGATGGTTGTGAGTCATTCGCCCACACTCAATGCTCACTTCAATAAGTGACTCCAGCCTTTCTGGCTTCCAGTATCTCATCCCCAAACACATGGCTTTTGTGGAAGCTCCAAATCCAGAACCTAAAGTAAAAGGATAACACCATGTATTCAAAAGGAGATTGATCTCAAACAAATATATTGATAAAATGTGAAACAAGCACACTTTATTAAATCAGCTCATGGGAAGGGAACTCCTCAGGGAATGGGAAATTACTGTGCAAATGAGTTACAAATGTTGAAAGTTTCTTGCAAGGAATTTTGCTCCTCCATAGTCATTCTGGTTTTACAGGTATATTCCAATATAATCAAGTGCTATGAAGACCATAGTGGGCTCAGAAAGACGTGTGCTCTCTTGTTCACAGGATTTATTTGATCCAAACTCTCATCTCATCTTCACTTATTTTTGGCTGACACTGCTGTTTTGCTTGCTCCAGGTACCCACACCAGAAACAGAACTTTGAGAAACAGATACATTTCCCCCCCACCCTTATTTAATAGTTGTAAACACACAATTAAAACACTTTATATGCACTTCACAGTTCACCTCTCAATTTTAATGCATGTTTCATCCTGGAGAGCCTCACCAGTTGCTGCTACATACAAAAATAATGTGTCTAAAAGAAACTAAATGCTACTGAGCCAAATCCTACAAAGTTAGGCAATGTCAGAAGTGAAGTTTCCCGTGCAACCTGAAATTAGTGCTTACTGTGCTACAGCCTACACTTATCAAGCTTGGTCTTGGGAACCTCCACCTCTGTGTAGCACAAAATTTGTTTATTGAAGAGCTAATTCAGAATTTCTTTTACTCCTTAGCACTGAATGTGTGATCCCAGGTGTTCAACTTTTAAACACTGAATTGAATGGAGTTAAACTTACTAATGAGTTTCTCTGCAAGTACTTATCAGAGTAATTTTAGGATCCCAGAGAAGTTTTAATGAGCTTATCTTCACCAGGCACCAGTGAAGTGATTATCTCCTCTTTGCAGCTGGTGAGCCAATGCCCAAAAAAGCATTAACTCATTGCAGGCAACCACCCTGAGATGAGTAGGCCTCTATTTTTCAAGGTACTTGGCATTTTTCAGCACTGTCTTTTCTCAATCACACTTCCCAGTGACCTTGGGAATAGCTGAGAGCAATCAGCATTTCTCTTCTAAGTTCCTGTAAGATAAGGGGCATATTTATGCTACCTAATTTTAGCTTATGTGAACCTGCATTAGGAGCCCAATCTCCTTGTCCTTCCCAGCATGGAGAAAGGCAGGATGTCTATTAGTGTGTATGATGGCATAGTAGGAGCAACCTGGGGGCCGGAGCGAATTGAAGCAGCAGATGCCAAGGTCACAGCTTTCAGTCACTTATCTGGAGAAGGGCCCTCAGCTGCTCCACTGGGCTTTGTCTGCTGTGACAGCAGCAGGGGCTCTTTTGGAACACCTCTTGCCATCAAGCCTCATGCCAAGTGGCTCCAGCTCCAATGTCCTGAGATTATGAGTGTGATCCAAGTGGAGTAGTGGGGGTGGCAGTGAGATCGACTTCAAACCAAACTGAAATCTGAGCCAAACTAACATAAACCACCTATTGGCATTTCCAGGTGCAATATCTGAATTTCCCTCTTAGGAAAAGAGTTCTTCCTCTCCCCTAGAGCAGCTATCCAGGAGCAGATAAAACTGTCTGCCTAGCCCATAGATCACATAGAAACCACAAGGAAGAGTTAGGAAGGAAATCCAGTCTTCCAGGGCACCATCAACTGGGAGAAATATCTCCTGCTTTCAAGACCAAACTCTTCATTTAATCATCTACTGCCATAGGATAGCAGATGGGAGTCTTCACTATGCAGACCTGGTTTCACCAAAGGACACAGTCCATGCTGGTTATCCAAGAGGGGAGACTCTTGCACTACACTGCTAATTAAATAACATCTCTCAGTATATCTGAAGTGGAAGATGTACTACAGGGATCCAACTGCTGGTCTGGAGGAGGTTGTCTTTCCCACTTCATTGCATTCCTACAGTCTGGGAAGTTCCATTAAAACCTTCTGCAGAATTAGACAAGTAAACTTGGCAACAAAAAATTCCATCACATGGAGTAACATTAAACCCAGACAGAGCTTCAGGGAGCTAATTCCCATGTTTCACATCTACCATTTGAACTAAGGACACAAGGGACAGCAAGACAGCAAGATAGTCCAAGCAACAGGGGTGACACATGTGACAATGTAAGGACTGTCCTCCATTATCAGACCAAAGGTCAAGCCACCTTATCATGTCTGACAATAAAGAGGATACTCAAGAAAGAGTAAAAGAGAAGTACAATGACATTATCCCTTTGTACGAACTAAGCTGCTGACAATTTGTCTCCCTGATCCAGGAGGCAGCTGGCTATTCATCTTTCTGCTTAAAAGCTCTTGAAGGATTTCCCCTGGGTGAATTTGCCCACCTCATTTTCGAACTCACATGAACTGTAGCATCTGTAAATTGACATTGGAAAATACTTATGCAGCTTATGTAGATGTTGTGTGAAGTCTGTTTTGGTTTTTTTTTTTTTTTTGTCTTGCTTTGAGCTCATGACCTCCAAGTTTCATTAGAAGTTCCTAGTTGCTGTCCTGGAGGAGACAGTGAATTTTTGCTGTACCTATCCATGTTTCCCAGTTATTTTCCTTTTAATTTCTGCACTACATAATTTTTTTTTAGTATATTATACCTCAGTGTGATTTTCTTCACTCTACACCTGTAGAATAACAAAAATTAGGGTGATGGATGCTAAGCCCTGAAGAGGATGCACCTTTTGTGACTACAGATTGTTCTGCTTGAAAACTTAGAGCCCAGCATCTTTATTTCCTGTGCATCTGCAGCTTCAACTTTCCCCTCACTTTCCTTGTTTTTCCTCATATTTTCCCTCATGCTCCTCTGCCAATACCACCTGCAGAAAGTTCTCAAATACTTCTAGGAGGCCCAGAAGTTGCTTCCACAGCTGCAAATAAAGACCTGCTTGGATGCTGCAGTCTCAGCCTGAAAGACACAAGATACAGGTAGAGCCCAGCTATTTGACCCACCATTTGACTGGCCTGTTGCAGTCACTCCAAAAGCAAATATCTGGCTCAGGGGGGTACTACTATACTCAGATTTTGGTTCCAGTTCTACAGCATCAACAATCCTCTTCTGAACAATTTGAAGTTTTGTCAATGGGTTAAAAGGTTTTCACCATGTCTCAGAAACAGCAAACTCATCTGCATCAAAACTTTAAAAAATACTTACAGACAAACAGAAGCAAACACTCAATGGAGAGAATTTTAGCCTTGTGCTTATCAATGTTATAAATTGTAAACAAGCTCTTAAAATGGAAGGTGTTAGACAATCTTGGGCAGGTTTTCTGGTGGTCACAGGAATCTCGTCAGCCTCTAACATAAGCCAGGTATCTCTGCAATGAGTGTGGCAATGAGCATGACATGAGGTGGCAGAGACACATAGGGCAGTTTGACTTAGGGATTCGGTGCGCTGACTAAACCCACAAGAATTTGAGCAGAGAAGCATCCATAAGCAATGCAAAGCTACCTAAGTCTGTGAAGGCTGGCACATGAATTAGTGCTGGAAGCAAGATGAGATAGAATGCCCACAGCAAATCAGCCTTTTGGTTCCAGCCCATCCAAAATATAACCTGACTTCTAGGCATCCAATCCCAGGCATTCAATGCCTGTGGCATGTTTTTGCCTCAAGAAGAATTTTGTGCAAATTCAATTAAAAGTTAATTATGTCCCATAGAAGGCAGAACATCTCCACTTCAGGTTCTTGTGCTCTCAGGGTAAAAAAAGGCTTCCTGAAATGTTCCAAATGCTTATTTGTCAGACCAGATGGAGAAGGTGGCTTTTGCCTGTGAGATCTCAAGGCAGGAATTAATTTTAGAGTCTCCTAGCCCAGAGTATCTCGAAAGCAGAAAGTCCATGGAAAGCTGGGGAGGAGGAAGGCTGAAAGAAAAGTGGTAGCTCCAACACTGCAGTGGACCAGGAAACAGCCATACTCAACTGCTTGTCAAACAATGTTAGGAGCTATTTGGGGCCAACAACAGCTCCCACAATTATTTTCCCCAAATTTTATCCACTGTCAGTCACAAAACACATGACAACTGCCAGAGGGGTGCTTTCTCATATCTGGCTGGCTGATAGCAGGGTGGGAAGAATACACCCTTTTCACTCCCAGCAGCTGTTGTGAGGAGCAGGGAACAAGTGAGAGATGCTTTTCTTTTGGTCAGAGAAACTGGCTGCAGAGACCCAGAAACAGCCATGGCACTGTGCCACCGGGCCTTTGGCATGGTGTTGCATCAATAGGCAGTTCTGTTGAGGCAGTGTTCTGCAGTGCTCTGCACTGGCTGAGTGACACAGTCAGCAAGCTGACACCGTTTTGTGGCTGTCTGGGTCCCCCATCTCTGCTAATGGGGTGTCTCTACAGGCTTTCAAGATGAATTGCACTGTGTGTGTTTTTGTGTGCACATATCTGTGTGCATGTTATTTAACTTGCAGTGGAAATTTTATTCATTGTAGACATAAATGATCATAAAGAGAAAGAAAGAGAGGGGTCAGGCATATGTAAAACAGGGTAGGAATATTAGGAATTATCAACAAAACAATCATAGCTGTTAGCAGGGCATCCACATAGAGAAAAGTCTCTGCTTTCCCTCCAGTGAACGTATTGGTGCTTAGAGCAATTTTACAGGCTTGGCATTTTGTTTCACATCTGGTGTGACTGAAAAGATTCAAGTCTAAAAATGTTTAAAGGAAAAATGGCAGAAAATGTTTCTTAAAATAACCATTAAACTCAAGGACAAAGATCTGGACCCTGAGGCACAGAGCCAAGAACAAAGCCTCTTTAAATAGATGTTAAAGAGGGAGGGGTTTGCTTACAAGAGGACACAGTGCCCTACAGGAGGAATTCTTGGCAGATCTCTCATCATCCTCAGGCGAACATGGGAACGTTTCAGAGGTAGTGGCCTTTGATGTTGGGGGGAAAAGGAAACAATTTCCATATAGCCACAAAGAGGGAGAGCATGCATTATCCTAGGCAGGCCCTCTACCAGGAAAGCAGTACCGTACCCTTTTCATTGAAGGGCGTGTGCCAGGCCAGAAGGTGGTTGTCTGGTTTTAACTCCCTGCAGCCCTCGATGGTGGCGGGGTCCGGCCGCCTGCCCGTGAGCTTGTCCACAGCATCCACATAGCGCTTCACCAGCTCCCGGTACAGGTCTTCCAAACACCAGTAATCTGCTCAGAGGAGGCAAAAGAAGGTTGTTGTGTGAAGGCAGAAGAGCAAAAATAAACCACAGATAACATGCAAGCAAGCTCACTGTGCATTTGAGAAATATTCCTGTTTCCACTTCCAATAGACCGAGTCATGTTTCTGGTGCCTCTGTGACATTTTTACACAACATGACAGCGGGCTGGAGGGAGAATGGGCTTGACTCTCAGTTCTCATCTTTCCCTCCTTTCCTTTACACATTTAATTCCTTCACTGTTCTGATGAAGCATTCTTTAATCAACAGTATCTGCTGAGGACCTTTATTTAAGCTCTGTGGTGTGAAGTCATTGCAGAGATGATGAACTCTCAGCTGACAGCGTGGCTGCCATGAGGAATGGGTAAAGCCAACTATGCCTGGCTCAGTCCCTGCCTATACAAACGTGAATCCAATTTAAAAATTAAAGCCCTTTTTTTTTTACCACATTACAGAATCTCTTTAAGAGATACGTATGACTAGATACAAAAGCAAATTGCTATTTCCTTTTAAAAATCTGTGTTATAAGTATTTTGTCTAAAATTTGTAGGTCTTTCATGCAGGGATCCAAATATCTTATAATATCACAGTGACGTTTTTAAAAAAATACTATAAAAATCAGTAAGAGCAGTAAATCCCCACTGCCTGAAGGCAGTTTCCAGTACATGAATTTCTCTCTGTAATAAATTCACTAACAACATCTGTTTATAGATTATTTTTACCAAGTCCTACAGTCTTGCCTAAGGAGGAGCCTTCCCTCTGTTAAACATAGACTGTTCAGTATTGCTGCTTCTCTCAGCTGATGTTATCTGTTGTTGGTCTTGAAGAATCCTGCCCTTGTCTTGTGTCAAGGAAAACCTTCCACTGGGACTTATTACAGCTTATTACATCTGTGCAATCACTGGGAACAGAGGCCAAAGGGTTTTATCCACTTATATATTTTCTGCATACTTAGAGAAATCCCATTTAATACTTGGCTAGTTGCACAGGTTGAAAGACACAGAAGGGGAAGTTCTTCTAAAAATATCTTCATTTTGTCATAGATGGTGAATTCTAGAAATCCAATTTTAACTTAGGAGAAAGTTTGGAGTTCCAGAAGCAAGAGACATTCTGAAGTACCAGTTATGGAGGCAGACAGAAAAGAAGATGAAGGGTAGAAAAAAGATTCCTCTTCTTTCACATAAAATAATACCCTACCAATTACACTGGCCATCCCACATATAATCCTTAAGAAACAAGACACTTTCAGGCTGCCAGCTCTTTCCAGATTTAGGAGTCAGGTGTCACAGTTTATCCAGATGGGAGCCAGAAGCAGGGATTACTGCCTTCCAGCTCCTGCAGAAACCTTGTCCCCAGAGCACAGAGTCCTTGTGGTCCAGCACCTCCAGGCTGTTCAAGCCCTCCATGGTTCCCATGCCTGGAGCCAGATTGCTGTCTCAGCCATCAATAGGATGGGTTCTTTCTTTAGAAGTGAACTTTTATTTTTTGTTAACCCATGCGTAAGCAAGAGAGGAAAACAACAATGCTTTTGTTGTTACCCAGATAGTTTCCCTGTGTTTGATGATGCTGTCCTTGTTCCTCCCTTATAGGACAGACTCCTCCTGGAAGCAGATATTTTGTCTGTCCTTCATTGTCAAATCAATCTTTCAGTCAGGGAACACGGTGGATTTGGGGAGCAGCAGCTCAGTCTGCAGCAGTGCTCACCGCCCTGGTTGCTTGTAGCCATGCCCCTCCTGGGATGTTCTTTCTCCATGTAATTGCCAAAGCACTGGCCAAAATCCCTTCTGCAGGTGAGAACTGCCTTCCACTTTAACGCAAGCCTGCCCCTGGCTGCTGCCTCAGCCCCAGGCTGGGAGCTCCCCCGAGGGCAGTGCCTGACAGTGACAGCAGGACTTCATGGCTTTGGGCCATGGGCATGTTCATGCCAGCCTACAAGTACCCTGCAGGTGAGCTCTGGGGAGTGCTGTGGCCAGCAGGCAGCCAGGCAGGCAAACAGGACATGCAGGGAGCAGGGCAGGGAACGACAGAGATATTTTTATTCCTTATTTCCCATCCTTCTTCTTCTTCTTCTTCTTCTTCTTCTTCTTCTTCTTCTTCTTCTTCTTCTTCTTTCTTTTTTTTTTAATCTGTTTCCACAGCAGTAGGGGTAGGTCCCCAGGGTTGGTGGCAGATGCCTTCAGCCTCACAGATGTTCATCTTCTTCAGCTTCACTCTGTTGACCAGGGTGATTTAGCACCTAGGCTGGGCCATGAACGAGCCATGGGGCTTTTCTGCATTCCTCATGTCAGGAGGAGATGCTGCTGTGGGCAGGTTCTCCTTGTTTCCCTTGTGGGAAACAGGGAGAAGGACTCATTTTATCCCACTCACCAATGTTGCTGTGAAATGAAGATTTTTTCTAAAATTCCCTATTCCATCTTGCTGTTTCCTCTCCAGCCCATGAAAACACCTTTTTAAAATATTTGTCTTACCAGGTGAAAGAAATGAGAGAGTAGGATAAACACGGTCAATGGAAAAACTAGTTTAAACTTTTTTCTTTAGAGCAATTTACAGGCTGCTATACTTAAGAAAAGAATTATTGTTTTACTGGTGGTCTAACTGACTTGATTACCAGAAGTTGTGATTTTAGAGCATTCAATAAGGAGGAAACACATGATATGTATTTAATCATAACCTATATTCAGAAATATGCTAGTCATCTTTTTTCTTGATAGGCTGACATCTTGCCCTTATCTTTAGTATATTAGCTACCCCTTAAACCATTGGTTAGCTAATAGCCAAGTATGAAGTGTTCTACACACTCTTCAACTGATCCCTACCTGCTAAATTTAGAGCAGATTGGAAGCAGGCAGATAAAGGAGTGAAACACTAGCACAATGGAAACCTCATTGATGTGAAGGATTCTCTGCTACATTGGGAGCTTATGCTACTGGTAGCTATGCACTGTTATGAGATTTAATAAAAATCAGAAATACTTTTACAGAGATTTAAGAAAAACTGAATAATTATGAAGAGACTAAATACTGTTGAGAAGTCACAGTCTTCTGGTGTACTTTCTATGATCTTTCCAGTCTCAGAAAGCTTTAGGTTGAGGGGTAAGGTGTCAATGCAAACACTTCTCATCTTAAAAAGACTACCCCCACCTTAAAAAAAGACAAATGTTCTCTCTCAAATCATTGTGATTCTAAAAGATATCTTAATAACCTCCACTATTGTATCAGATTTCATTATAAATACAGTGTGTTAGGATACTTTTTGGACTAAAGACATGGAACTTTCCTTATAAAACAGGTTTTTGCAGATGAAACTGTTTGTTTGAGGGGCAGCAAAGAGGAGACAGGACTAGTGCTTTTAGCCTGAAGGAGGTACTAAGGTAACTCTACTCCAGCCAGGAGTTCTGGATACAAACATGAAAAATGCACTCAGAAGAACTCTTATCTGTTACAGAAGACTCTCTAGTGGCTATATTATTCCCTGATGTACTCCAGCATACAGATAATCTACTTCGAAATTATTTTTGTTATGCTGAACATGTGGTATTTTAGTCTTTAAGCTTTAGCCAACTGTGTATCTCTAGAGAAAATATAGGAAGAGCCCCTCCACACTTCAGAAATCAAGACTCCCCAAGTTTGTGAGATGGTCACAGGATTGTGCTCACGGAGCAGCCAAACTAATGCACATTATCATTCACATAAGCAGCATTTCTGACACGCTTTCTCATGATTTCCCCAGCAATCAGGCTTATTCTAAGAAATGCAGCAGCTCCACAGTTCTGTTCCTGTGCAGACTGCGGTCGCTGTTCCTGCTGTACCTACCTGTGATGACAGCCTCAGCTGTAGCCATGTGCATGAGCGTGTTGTCACTTACTGGCCACTTGTCAGGAGAGAGCACCAGGTTCTCAAGCCCTCCAATTTCCTTCAGCTCCTGCTGGATTTTTGCGCCTAAGGCATTGTTTTCACGGGAGAAATTGCGATAACCGAGAGCATCCCCTACTGCAGCCAGAACAAGTGCAGCCTTAAATTTATCCATCCCCAAGACACTTTCCACTTTCCTTTTGCCAGAGACAGCCACCGAATCTTGATCTTCCTTTGTTCCTTTGCCTTCAACTCAGCTCCCCGGACACTTTATATCAGCCATTGTGTCACACCAAGAGCTCTCTCTATAAGGCAAGGACTTCCTTTTCTGGCTCTGCAGATGCCATCTCTTGTCTGGGACCCGCCAGAGAGGAAATATTTCATAACCCAGGGATTTTGCAGGGGCTTTGTTCAATGTAACTCTAAGACCAGACCTGGAAAAGCCTCATTTCTGCAACTCAGCTTAAAGCAAGCCAGGAGATCCATAGCCCTACCCAGCCAAAGTAACTCTACACCCAGAAAAACAGATGCCTCCACAGGGGTGCTTATTTATTCAGCAACTTGTAAATTAATATTTTTTCTTCTGCCCATTTCTGATATGCTGAAGTCAGCCTCCCTCTCAAGGACCAGTCAGAAGTAAAGGCTATTATAAAAGCAGTTTTCCAGGCTTTGCTGTAGGAGGGATTAAGCAGTAAGAAATCTAGTGAAATGCAGATAACCTCTCCCATTTCTAAATACACCCTATGGAGGTATTTTGTTAACAACTTTCTTGTTCTGTTCCACCTAGTACAAGAATGTTCTGTTAGTTCACTGCACCCCTGGATAAACACTGAGCAAAACAGCAACTTCAATTCCATACCTCTTACTCCCTGGCAAAGAGCGACTTTTTCCTAAAGCTGAGGTCAGTTCACATTTTGACTCTGGAAGGAAACCATTTTGAAAGATGTATTGAAATGGCATCCTGTGAGTCTAGTAACATCCAAAAGACTCACAAATTGGTACTACTTTACAGACAGAAATAGAAATATAAACATTGAGAGGTAAACAGAAAGCATTGATTGACTTGACTAATTTTGATAACTTATACCAGGGGAAAGGTCTTTGTTTTCTTTGATCTTTTTCAGAGGGCAATACTAGTTGCTATTCAGATGGAAAAGGCCAGTAATGTAAAGGATGCACCCAAGACAACAAGTTAATAAGCAATAAGTTAATCATGATCTCAGTTATTAACCTGTGTAGAAATATCTCTGTACTTAATGGATTTTTAGGATGCACAGAAGCATTGCCATGCCTGCTCTACATTAGAAGAAATAAGGTGCCCAAATGGTGAAAGTAGCTTCTGTTAGTGCACTCTTGTTTTAAATAATGGGATTGGTTAACAGAAGTGCTGAAAAGGACACTGATTGTGTGTTTTAATTGCTAGAAAGTAAAATGCCACACTGAAAAAGCCAAAAAAAAAAAAAAAAAAAGGAGGACAATTATGCCTAAGGGACCAGAGGAGGATATGCAGGGACAAGAATCAGTGGGACATGTCCAGCCTGCTGTAGAGCTGGCTTGCCACAAATGGTGGATGCCAGCCTTGTGTGGGGCAGGGGGAACAAGCCTCATGTCTCACAACCAGGACATTTACGCAACACAGAGGTAATCTTAGAGTCACCCCTGCACTGCAGGTTGCCTCACGTTCCACGTGTCTGAAAATAAACACTAGAAATGGAAAACCAAGGCCAGAACAGCTTACAGAACACACCAGGCAGAAGCTCTGACGTTGACATCTCTGTTACAGGTCCATCCACCCCTCTGTGGCACACACCTGCTCTCTACTCCTGCATAGCATCACGGTTTGGAGGCACATGGGCATTTGAACTTGCAAAGCAAGGACAGGAGGAATCTCCTGCTGAGGCACTGTGGTGAGCTAGCAAGGGCCTCATCAGATGGAAGGTTCCTCCCTGAAAATGGGGGGCAAAGCTATTCTTAGTTTTCATTTATCTTTTCCTTCCAAATGTGGCTGGCAGTTGCACTGCCCTTTTGCCTCCCATAGACTTCACTCTGTTGCAACACAACACACTTGGCTGCTCAGAACACAGCCCAAATTAGGTATAAGGCTATAATAAAAACCTAGAGAAAATTTCAGAGAACTTATATTTTTCAACCCTGTAAAACAGAACATGCAGCAAAGACATTTTTATTTCATTTTTTAAATTACACATGATCTCTTTTTCATGGGGTACTTCTAGCTACCGTGAGCTTTCTGAGCAGAGGTAAGCTGGCCACACTAAACTACCTCTACTCCCCACAAAAGGAGATATTTTTTTGTAAAATATACCTACATGAATTAAATAGAGATAAAATACAGTAATTCCATGAAGATGGGTAACTATTCACAATTGAAAAAAAAAAATACCTGAGCAGACCTGGCAAAACTATTTGGTAAATCATATTAAAATGCATCTTTGGTGTCTTTTCATTAGTGTATATAAGACAGCATTCAGATGGGGAAAATCCATAAAAAAAGGAATGGGAAAGCAGGACAGAAAAAAGGCTTGTCTGTGTTGGTGGCAACACACTGTTGTTTCAGCTCAACTGCATTTGAAACCCAAGGTGAGAACATGAAAGCAGCCTTTGGCAAACGTGGCTCCTCTGCCTCCTCCAGCACAGGGAAGTGCATGGATGGGTTCCAAGCCCAGGATGAACCTGTGCATGCTACAGGCACTGAGCTCTGCTCCGAATCAAGAACTGGCAATTGGAGCTGGACTGACGCTGTGTCCACACAAACCCCTTTTAAATTAAGAGGACTACACCCCAGATGCTTCCACCATGAGTGAGTGATCCTTTGCCATTCAAAGACATTCAGCAGAGAAATGTTGTTGATTCCAAGTTCACCCATCCAAAGGACACAGAGCCATATCCTGGAAAAGTAAGGTTGCCACCAGGTGGGTGCCAGACTTCTGTCAGAGCTGCATTTTTACAACTCTTGGAGTGCAGGACTTTACTCAAGCATCAGAATCATTCCTTTAAAACACATTCATTGAGATCCAGGAAAAAATTAACTTTTTAATTTTTCAATTAAAATTTTATTCAATTCTTTAACAATGGAGATGAATTATTTCCATGCAGCTTTATACCACTGCCTTGAAGGAAAGAGAATCCTTTAACACCACAGGATGGAGTTCTTCTTTACTGCCTTGACAGAAAGCTGAGGTGAAAACATGAAACCTATAGGGTTTGCCAAACAATAGAGTAGTTCACTGCTTGGAAAAGGAGGCACAAAAAAAAACCCCATGGGAATTGGTCAAGTATATGCACCAACAAGAGGAAGTATCCCAATATTCAATCAAAATGTGAATGCCTTTAAATTTCCCCATTCTCATTAAGAGATGAACATTGCACCCACTTGTCTAAAATACAGTATTTTCTGCGGGTGGTTGTAAGAGGCAGCTGCACATGAAGATCCCTCTGTCAACAGTTCAGAACCAAAAAGTTAATTTTAGAGGTGTGCCACCTAGTTCTACCCAGCACACTGCAGATAACAAGTTCAGGAAACATGTTTTGCTGAACAGGTTTGTGGTTGTAAAAACACGACACTTTTTCAGAAGGACTATTCCTTTTGGTGAGTGAGATGCTGGTTGGCATCAGCTGAGGGAAGTTACTGGTGCTGACACAAACAGGCTTGCCATGGATCAAGCATCAACGCCTGCAGCTTCCCTGTCACAGGAAATGGAGGACAAGACCTGTGCAACACCAAAGCAGTGGTTGGTGAAAGCACTGGAGAAGGATGGCAGCTGGGTGAAGACAGAGGACAACAGACTTATTTTGACTTAAACTTTCAGAAGAGAATTAATGATAGGTGAATGCATAACTCTGAAGGTCTTTGCACAAATTTCTGAGCATGCTGCTTCTCCAACAGAGCTCAGAGCCAGGACTGAGCAACACTTAACTGCAATTGCAGCTCCCATTGCCAGCACAAACTAAGGACACAAATTGTGAAGAATCTGGTGACCAGCAGATACATGCAGTGAATACAATACTGCAGCTAAACATGTCAAGCCTCTTAAAAGCTTAATGGTGACACAAATGACCAAACCAAACATTTATTAAGGCCACTTAAAAATTAGTGAGTTACATTCTTACTTTCTTCTGGTTGGTGGAGTAGTAACACAAGAACCTAATAAATGAACCAGAAAACAACAACAAAAAACTCCCACTAGACCAAGATTTCCAAAGCAGAAAACTGACAAGAACCATACAGACATCTCACATGACTGACTTCAATCCTTTGACAGTCCATTTATTCCTTTTTCCAGTGCCAAAAATTATACACACATGTACAGCTTACTCAGCAGCAAATCTCCAAGGTGCATTGAATAAGCAGATGCCTGCAGGTTTGCTCTCCTTGGCATGACACACATGATAGATTACATTTAAATTTAGAATTGGCAAGTACAAATCCTATGGCTCAGTTTCAAACCAAACAACTTGGCACCAAGTTTAAAAATACATACAGCATATCTGTGAAGTAATACTGTACGCACTGAACAACTTGAAGACATCTGTACCATTTAGGATTATAAATTGAGTAGCCTAGGTGTTACCACTGTATCAGCTTACTTAAAATGGAAGTCAGAGTACCCTGTAAAGTGCAACTGTGGACAGCAGCAAATGATTAAAACATGTAACAAACTTGTAAGGTGAAAGGAGCTTATTTGCATTTTTTATTACTGTTCAAGTGTTAAGGTGTTACTTTATATGGGAATGTAAAAATCATATGTGGTTTAAAATGGGTAGAGGACCAGGAAGAATAAAAGAAAAAGGAAAAGCATAGCAAACCTCAAAAGCTGGCTCACAAGGATCAACTACTATCTCTGGAGTATTTTGCTCAGTCTTCTACTGTCACCCAGGAAGGATCTCCCCAGGAATGAGATTTAAATGTGTGTGTACGTGTATACATATATATATATACAAACACACAAACTGAATCCTAGACTAAGCACCCCTTCCTTCTTGCTCTAATTAACAAGGAAAAAAACCCTCAACCCACATGCATTTTTTATGCCCTATTTATTCTAAAAGGTAGAAGGTTCATCAGAATGATTTGATGGAGCTCTCATCATGAGCAAATGTTTCACAAGCTCTAGTGCTATGAAACTTCAATTACATCACTTACCAATAGATTAATCTACTTCTGGTCAGTTACATGTTATCTATATATTTTAAGTAGCAATTGTGTGAGTAACAAGCATTCCATTGTTTC